TTGATCAAGTTGACTACTCAGTTAATCAGATAATTAAGATGAATGCGTAGATAATACACACAATAGTTTTGAAGGAGAAAGCATTTATTATTAGATGCAGGCCTGTTTGTAGCAGATATCACCTTCAAGAGGGTATGTCAAATACTTCATTTAGGATGGTGCTTGCCGCTGGCAATTTTGAAAAGTAGTAGTATTAAAGGTTTCTATATAGTCAGTATCCAAAGCTCAATGAAAACAAAAATGAAATATTCCACCACATCTGAACGACAGAAGGCTACACACTGCAGTGTCTCACATTAAGTCATTTCTGAAAAATAACAAAGGGTTTCAAAGTGTCAAAAGTGAACTTCCTGCTCAGAAACATGAATTGATACCTCAATTAAATCCATGAAATAATGCACCTGTGATCCTGAAATTATAATATCAGCCCTTTGGCTAACCCTTCAAACGAGCCTTAATTAAATATAGTGGTACCTTGGTTTTTGAATGGAATCCGTTCCAGAAGCCTGTTTGGCTTCCAAAACATTCAAAAACTGAGGCGTGATTTCCTATTGGTTGCAAGAGCTTCTTGCACTCAGTGGAAGCTGCGTCGTTCAGGTCCGAACAAAGTTCGCAAACGGAAGCATTTACTTCCAGGTTTTTGGCGTTCAAGAACCAAAACGGAGGTGTTCAGGAACTGAGGTACCACTGTATATGTTCTCAAAAGGAAGCTTACATTGGTCAATAGCTAACGATTTCAGTTTTGCTAGTTAAAACATGTGCTAGAAACTTACTTTCTCATATTCAAGTACACCGACGTACTTGACTAGTACATTACTTTTAGTTTGCTAAAAACTGTAGATTGAGCATTGTGCCATAAATAATATTAAAAGGTTTCCATTGAAATAAAATCCAATGATTTTCTAGGCTTCAGGGGCGCACCTTTCTTTTTATTGTTTCAAGGGGGTCCATTTCTTCCTGCAGTACCAATATTTTGGAGAACAGTCTGTCTGACTGTTCAGCTCTGCTGGAGGCTGAAGGAGCAGCACTCCCAAAAGCACTTGAGGAGTTTCTTCTCACTGGTTAGTGGAAGAGGGGAAGAATGTACTCTCTGTGAAAAGGAGGGAAGGCTGCACCCCCTTCTAAGGGAATGTGGAAATGGGCTTTATGAGTGCAGTAAGGGCTGTGCAGCTTGAAGACCTCTGGATCAGAGCCAGTGTTGCAGGATACAAATCTACCCCTCTCAGTTGGGAATCCTGGAGGAATTCAACTGCCAAGAAGTCCCGTACAAAACTTGTGGTTCTGCACCATAATAATAATAATAATAATAATAATTTCTTGTTTCTACCCTGCCAATCTGGCTGGGTTTCCACAGCCACTCTGGTTAGCTTTCAATAGAACATTAAAAAGAGAATAAAACTTCAAACATTAAAAACTTCCCATTTGAGACTAAGCTTCAGATCAGAGCTTAACTATCCAGCGGAATTAGCACTTGCTTGAATGTTACATTGCGGCTCAACAGAGGACCTATCAAAGCATATGTTTGAATATTTATTCTGAGAGAAGCCACACTTTTTAATGCATATTTTGAGATTAACATAGAAGTGGAATATGTGCAAAGGTGACACGGGCCGGAATGGACGGATTCATATATCCCTTCTCTTAGAGAGTAGGAATGTGAACTTTTTGGGTGTGTGGGTGTGCCAATCTGCAAATGGAAACCTGTTCTGCATATGTATCGTTCCTAGTGGCTGAGGACACTTGTGGGTTTGAGAAAAACAGTCACAGGAAAAGAATGCATATACACATTCCACTAACATTAATTAAGCAACAATCAATGGAAGAAAAGGACACAGGGAGATTCATAGGGATATATATATATGGTTAGGAGCAAAATAAAAATAAATGTCTAATTGACTGGGAAAGTGGTCACCAAAGAATAGGCTACAGAATCTAACAAATAAAAGAGCCTTTTATTAGTTGTTTTCTAGTCTTCAAGCTTAATGCAGAGTTTAATATTTCCAACAACCAAGACCATTTTGGAGAGAATGGCTTTGTGTTTCCACATTTTACAAGGTTAAACTGGCATTCTGAAGCCCGTTAGCCCCGGCATGACTCTAGCAGACATTAAAGCAGAAGAACGTTTTCCATTGTATGGTTAGACAACTGTAGACAAGTTCTGTTTCATTTCTTCAAAACAGTGCTCATTTCCTAATTAACGAAACAAAGCTATATAATTGAGACACTCAAATTTGTCCTCTTATGTACCCCAAAGAAGCTTTACTTTAAAAGCAACAATTACATACAATTGTCTGTTTTTGTTGTTTTCTTTTAAAAGATGATGCCTACAATAATGGCATTTCTGCAGAGAAACGTATATGTGTGATTAGTGTGATTACAATACAACAATAACCCATCACCGCTAACTATTATAAAACCGTAAACTATTATTCAGGACACTATAAAATTCAAAGCCTAATTGAAAATGCTAGTTTAGCATAATTCCCACAAGCCATCATTCTTTAATATTGTGAAATGAATGAGGTTTTCGTGGAGCTATTAATTGATACTGACAAGCAATAACCACTGGAATGAAACTCCAATTATGAGAGGCAATTAATCACTTTTACTGTCATCTGTGGTGTCAAACAAAATTCAATAAAGTTCTAAACAGTAAGAAAAAAAAGAGAGAGAGAGAAATGTATACCTCTTGTGGATGAATGCAATTCAAGCAAATCAGATAGCCTTTTGTTGAGGGAAATCATGTCAGTTCAAACATGTTATTTTTGCAGAAGTAATAGGACATTTGACTTTCTGTTGTATTCCCCAAGATTAAATTTCCATCTGATTTAGACTTGCCATAATAAGGGTTTGTTCTGAAGCAGCTGGCATTGTCATGGCATAATTAACAACAAGCATGGGTTTGTGGCAGATAAATCATTAACAAAAAATATTCTACGGGATCCAGCTAAGTCATTTCTCAGTACTAAGATTCTAATTGCAGTTCTAAGATTCTAATGCTGTCTGTGACTTAGTTTTAGGGCCAGGGTGGACATAGTCTCTAATGAATATGGCTGTCAGAAGCTGCCAGGGCTTGAAATGAGAATTTTTGGTACTGTTACAGTTTCCCTGTGTGTTGAAGCATTAGAACTGTTGCTTGGAACATCTTGTTTGTAATGAACTAATCTGGGGAATTGGACTGCCCCCACCCATCACTCTAGGTCTATAAGAGACTTCCCGTTTGACTTTGGAATTTACAACCAACATTAACATTGGGCTTCTTGGCTCTGGCAAGTTTCTGTGTATCTGTTTCCTTAGCTTTCTCTTCTTGCTCAGCCCATTGGCTCTGACCATTGCCTACAATTCAGCCTTCGCAAGAGTCAAGCAGCAAACTGAGAGGGACTTCCATGAAACCATTAACCACTGTATGCAACTCTTTGCAGGCCACAAGACAGTCAACTTTGCAGTGGGTCAGAAAAAGGGAAATGTTGTGAGCCATTAGGCAAGTGGGGCCATCAGTTACCCACACTCTTCAGGACTCTTCCGTATAAAGATGACTAGCTGATAGCAGCCCAATCAGTACCTATATTGATATAAAGCAAAAAACCCCAGGCACCAAGGATATTAGATTTTGTAACGTGCCTTGGGTTCATTTTCTTGCAGAGGGGTAGGATATACCTTTAGCTGCCATTCCAGAATGAGGCTTCTGTTAAACTCCCATTTCAAATATGACTGAATCTGCTCAGTATGCTGTTGGTTGCTTCCAGCCAGAACAATTGCCAAGTTAAAATATATGAAAATATTCACAACTTGTACTCTGGCCTTCAGAGGGGAGAAGAAAGGTACATCAAACGGATTACAGAATAACACAGTATTGATCCAAGAGACTACCCACACGGCCAGGAAAATGCGCTCAGGGCAAAACCACCCATTATGCAGAGAAACCTACATCTGTCAACCTGAATTGTGGAGTGGGAGGCAGAGTGAAGATTTGTTGGGGAGAACTGTTGGATGGGAGTGGGGAATGGCAGTGTCAAATCCTTTCTGCACCTTCCAACTCTCCCCTGCAGGTGGCTCCCCCAGTTATTTCTCCATGGAGCCAGCCTTTGAGATAGGAATGGGCAAATCCGGCCATTCTGGATTTTCCCAGGTTCTCATTTTTCCAGCCAGTCCTCCACATTTCCATATCAGTTGGTGGTTGCTTTTTTTGGGGGGGGGGCAGATCCTTATGATTTTTTTTGGAAAATCCTTAATAAAATAGGCATTTTAGTATAAATTTCTCCTGAAACACACAGAGTAGTGCAAATTTTAGCTAATGTACACATTTTTGTATACAGTCTCCCCCAGTAGGATTCAATTTTGTGCATTCTTTTCACTCATAGGTGCATTTTCAAATGCTTTTATATATATATAACCCTGGTACATGCATTCGCTTACACATTGCTTGGCTGGAGAACTGCACTGAACAAATTTTGAAGAATGGCTGTGTTTGTGTGCTGTTTCAGAAAGCACAAATTAGCTAGTTTCACCTTGCTGGTGGAATGTTTGCATGTGCCTCCTTTGATGTTGCCACTGGCTCTGGAGCTTTCTCTCCACTGACCTATCCCAGGCCTGCTTGGAGATTCAGAAGGCATCAGATCCTTCAGATCCAGGTCTGCCCCAGGCCACCTTCCAAACCACCCATAGCATGTCCCCTTAGTACTTCTGTCAACACCAGAGCTCTGACATTAGTAGGACAAGGATGCAGCTGCTTCTATGGAAAAGAGGCATCTGACACCAGACCTCTCTTGCTTTGATGTCTTTGCGTTGTTTCTTATGACCTTGGGATGCCCGCCTGAGGACATCAGCATTGCAGAACGAGAAATGCTTTAAAACACAACTGCAAGATGCAAACAATAAAATATCTTATGATGCCGTATCTCTTTTGCCACCTCCAATAATTAAAAAAAGAACATTTCCAGTAACAAACATCCTTCATTTCATCTCTACGTCTTTTCTTTTCTTTTCTTTTCTTTTCTTTTCAATTCTCCCTTTCAACAATATCTGGGATTTTTCCTAGCCAGCCAAAGACAGATGGAACACTTTGTCCTGTCTGGTATCTAGCTCACACAATTCTTCCAGCAATAAACACATTAGCACTATCAATGAAGGCCAAATTATTATATGAGCCTCAATCAATTTCTGCAACATATTTCCAGAATTGTCTTTTCTACTATAGATGGGGAAAGGAAACAGGTGCGCCGGGACCTTCTAAGCCCCTGCCCACCTATCAATCCATAAATTCTTCCTAGAGCAACTTCCTGCCTTGTGCTGGCCACCAAGAAAACTCTTTATCTTGTCTCCAGATTCTCCTGTGCTCTGGAGGTTCTCCTCAGTGTCATGATACTCAGGTCACTTCCAGGTGACCTGCTTATTGAGCATTTATCTTGATTTGTTGTGGGGAGGTTAGAAGACATCAGATATCTACTGAGCTTTCATCCTCCTTTGCTTGCGGGAAGGATATATTACATTGCGTCAAGCAAAGGTCACCCCATACTTCCCAAAGCATCTCCCCACAGCTTTCCATGAAGCATTAGGAGAAGAAGAACATTAGGAAGAACTTCCTGACAGTAAGAGCTGTTCGACAGTGGAATTTGCTGCCAAGGAGTGTGGTGGAGTCTCCTTCTTTGGAGGTCTTTAAGCAGAGGCTTGACAACCATATGTCAGGAGTGCTCTGATGGTGTTTCCTGCTTGGCAGGGGGTTGGACTCGATGGCCCTTGTGGTCTCTTCCAACTCTATGATTCTATGATTCTAAGGTTTGTTGTGCAAGACCTCCAAATCAACTTCAATTGTGCTACCTGAATTTGCCAGTGCATGATTCACTCCTGCCTTAAAACAGTGACAGTCTGGAAGCAGCCTCTGTTTGTGTGTCTGCTTGCTCATTCCTGTTCCAGCTCTTCCAGTCACCCAGCTAGATCCTCCTGGGGAGGAAACCTAAATCTATCACCCACTTCCTGTCCTCCCTCTAAAGAATAACAGTAGCTAAGCCCAAAGGAATCCTTTAATAGCTTGCAATATATGTAAATAGGTCAAGCCATTCGATCTCACACTGTTTAAAATTCCATTATCAAGACATCATAATTGTCCCTACAGCTCATGGTCCTTTCAATATTAGACGAAATAGTCCTTCCAATATTAGATGAAACACCCCACCCACCCCAATACGCTTGGGGTTTTTTTGGCTCCAATTCAAGTCACCTTTCTTTCCCTTTACTATGACTTCAAATGAACTGAAAAACCTTTAAGAGGAGGAGAATCCATCACACAACTAATATGCAGTACGTAATGACAATGGTTTTGTCAGCGATTAAATTAAGCAGACTTCCCATTTGACCTCAGATGCTTCCAAGCATCTGAGAGGGAGAAAAGTCTCTCTCTTGGCTGGGAGTTAAAGACTATTGTGGCTTTACTACTTAGATGTTTTGATATAATTTGGGGTCATTACAAGACAGCCAACAGGCTATAATCAAAGGAGTGAGTTCTTTTGAGCTGCTTCCAAACAAGAGTCAATATTTTCAGCAACTTTAACATAGTAGTTCCATTCCATTCCATATATATATGATTTAAAAATTGAGTTTCTCTTGTTCAAAGGCCAACTTTGGCTGTCCACACCGAAAAACAGCAAAAGCCATTTCCAGCATTTTCATCTTTTTTACATTTTAGCAAAGACAGTTTTATTATCAGGGTAACTGACTTTTGCCAAACACTTGGAAAATTTTAATACTGGGAGGGGGGCGCACCACAAAGGAAATATTCAATGTGCAGCTTTCAAAGAAATGTCTGGTCTGTCAAACATCATTTTTCTCACATTCACTGAAAAATAATAGGGATGCAAATGCAGATATGCCAAACGCAACAAAACCCCAGAGCTTTAAAAGAAATCATTGTGCTCTTCTCTTAACTGGCAGACAAATTAATTTTAGTGGGATGATTCTGAAAAGTTCATGCTCCGGCAACAATTGCTTATGACATTTTAAAGAAAGGGGGTTCTCATTCCAGAAATTATTTAAAGTTGTTCAAATTCTAGTGGCTGCTAATGTAAAGAAAGCAAACAGGATGGCCATAGATTTCAACAATAGAGGGCAGCAGTTTAAAAATTAGGGCTATCCTGTTGTAAAACACACACACACACACACACACACACACACACACACAGAGAGAGAGAGAGAGACAGAGAGAGAGAGAGAGAGAGAGATTGAGAGAGAGGAGTTGTATCTTCTGATGATTATTGGAGACTATACCCACTGTAGAAGCACAGTGGGTATAAGGGCTATTAACTCACTTCCTATGAGATTGGGTGATACTATCCTAAGAAACTGCCTTATACCATGTCAGACTATTTGTCCATGTGGCTCAGTATTGTCTGTTTTGACTGCCAATGGCTCTCTAGAGTCTCAGAAAAAGGTTCTTTTTATAAATAAATGTAAAAGTCATTGGTATGTGTTGGTGCGGCTGTCCTACGAGTTACTTCCATGCAAGCACCATATTGTAGCATTGTGCAAAGGGAAGCGAGCTACATGATTGATTGCTATGGGAACGGTAACAGTGAAGTTTAGATTTCTGATACTATAGTTATTACATATATGCACATTATAACAACTAAATATGAACCATATATAAGGTATTTCTCATATAAGACATGTGTTGCCATTTTCTCTTATGCTGTCTTTTGGGGGGAACATCTGTAACAAGAGGGGTTCTATATGTGTTCAACTCACACCCAGGACACACAGACAGGCTTTGCATCAGATTTTGTTACATCCCAGATTCAGAACCTAATAAAGTAGGGCTGCCACAAGTCCGGATTTTTTCGGACATTACCAGGATTTCAAAGGCGGAATTGAAGTCCAGGGGGGATTTCTGAAAGGCGGTGCTTTGCCCTGGATCTTAAGCAAGTCAATCAAAAAATCGTGGGTTTTTTGGTGTTTTTGTAAATAAAAAACCACGCTCAATAATTTTGGGGTTTACCCCAAAAAAGGTTGTATTTGGGGGGTCTTCCTAAAAAAAGTTCAACAACTTTTGGGGTCTCCAGGTTTTTACTCTTTGAAATTTGGCAACCATAAATGAAGTGATTCAGCTCAACCCATAATTCGTCCAGAACAGGTAGAGGCAGCCCCAGATCACCCACTCACCAGGGCTGTCAAAAGGATTAATGGACTGGCATCGAGGGGAGGGGGAGCGGATATACAAGCAACCTGCATGCACCCCCACCTTCCAACGACATTTAATTAGGGGTTTAAGCCCCAATTAAACACTGTGCAATGCCCCTGAATTGGGTCAGGTCAGTCAGAGATCATCGTGGGTCAGTCTGGGGCTGCTCCAAAACACCTGATTCGAGTCCAAAATTGGATTGCAGGGCCCATGCATAGCCCTACATACTGCTTAAGTGACCAATTCAGGAGCTGATAAGGTGAGCGCTAGCCCATGAAAGCTTACAGCAAAATAAGTTTTTAGGATGGCACATGACTCACTGCTGTTTTTGTGGCCAAAGGCCAACAGGGTTACTCCTCTAGAATCTGTAGCAATAAAAGATAACCCCTGGAGAACTTAGCCTTTCTAAATAAACCAATAGTATGGTAAAAGAAACTGCCGTGCTGAGCTCCACATGAAGTGTCCCTCATAGGCTACATGCTCTGAGAACACGGGGCACATGGTGTCCTTTTCCACAGCTGGCCATGCATGCGCATCATCCGATGGTTCATAGCCAAAGTTTTCCACTGAATACACAGCAACTTTCTTCATTGCTAAAAGAACCCACTTAAATCTTTCATGCCGTGAGATGCCTTTCGAATGTGCTGCAGTATTTAAAGTCCAAACCCACAGAATTCAATTTGGTAGCAAGGGCAATTTCTCTTTTTGCCATAGCCTGCCAGTTTATTACATTGCAACAGGATTATTTTAATGCAAAACACAGAAACTTGACTAAATAGTTCACCATCCAAGAAGTAAACACGGCAGAAGATGCGGAGCAAATCAAATACAGTTGTTCCAGTGCTTTATTCCCAAATATTTTATAAGCCTTCAGCCTAACTCCAGCAGATGGAATGAGGACAAGTCAGGCTCTGAGCTGATTTTTGCAATAGGTAACATACAGCCTTAAGACTACAAAACCTATGGCGCATATGAAAAACACAGCAGCGACAACAAACAAGGAGAATCTTTACTTTGCCGGGGGCTCTTTGTTAAATCTTGAGTTTCATTCCTCTGCCTCTCGGGAGCCAGCAGTGATACTCGGTGTTCGGAAGGCAGGTGAGCAACACCAGCTTGTCCTATTGAATGCCACTGGCTTCTAAAACACATTTTGGACACCAATTAACTTCAAGCTGTTATTTAAAGTGTGTGACCCTTTACGTTTTAACTGTTGGCATTTGCTGCATCTGGAAATCAATGTCAAAACACCCTGACATATTCTGATATCAATTAGTGGATGTGGATAAAGCATTTGCCCTTTGGTGTTTTTTTTTTGTTTTTACTCCATGAGAATACACAGGCAAAAACTGAAATAGCTCTGACCAGGTAGGTTCTGTCTTTGGTTCTGTATAATGTTACTATGACCACCGTTATGCACATGCCTTACATCACAGCTTTCCAAACTGTGTGTCGCGATACACACAGTGTGCCAGCTGCAGTGTGTCACTCAAATGCTCCTCGTGCTCCTCCTGGGGATGGAAAGGGGCTAGTTTAACCTCTGGTTTGCTAGTAATACTGAATTACAGTGTCACAAAATGATGCATGTCCACAAAGTGAGTCACCAACCTGAAGTTTGGAAAGCTCTGCTTACATGCATAAGAGTCCAAGATTCACTTCCAGGTATGGAGTACTGAGATTTAAGGAAGGCCATGGGGTTTCAAATAAAACAACAACAACAACACATTGGAAGGCCATGGCTCATGGGCAGAGTGCATGCTTTGCATGCAAAAATCCTCAAGTTCAACTCCTGGAATGTATAGACACAACTGGGAAAGACCCCTGTCTGGAATCCTGAGGAGCTGCTGCAAGTCAGTGTTGACAATACTGAATTTGGTGGACCAGTGGTCTGATTTGGTATATGGCAGCTCGCTATGCTCCTTTCTGTGGGTATTTGCAGGCAAAGAAGCTCGCTGTCCCTTGAGCTCTGTGACACAGTGGCACAGTGAGTGCTTAGGTTCTGTCACTGCTGCAAGTGGGATAATGAGATGGGATGAAGCTGCATGAAGATGGAACACACTGTTTAAAGGCACAGTCTGAAAGCGAACCAAGAATGGATGTGGACAAACTATTTGGCTTTTTTTAACACCAGGAAAATGCATTGTCTCTCTGCTTATTTAACTTATATGCAGAATTCATCATACGCAGAATTCATCACAACCTTAATGGCAGAAAGTGAGGAGGAATTAAAGAACCTCAATAATGAGGGTTAAAGAGGAGAGCACAAAATATGGTCTGAAGCTCAACATCAAAAAAGCCAAGATCATGGCCACTCATCCCATCAACTCCTGGCAAAAAGAAGGGGAAGAAATGGAGGCAGTGAGAGATTTTACTTTCTTGGGCTCCATGATCACTGCAGATGGTGACAGCAGTCATGAAATTAAAAGACGCCTGCTTCTTGGGAGAAAGGTGATGACAAACCTAGACAGCATCTTTAAAAGCAGAGACATCCTTGCCGACAAAGGTCTGTATAGTTAAAGCTATGGTTTTCCCAGTAGTGATGTATGGAAGTGAGAGCTGGACCATAAAGAAGGCTGATTGCCGAAGAATTGATGCTTTTGAATTATGGTGCTGGAGGAGACTCTTGAGAGTCCCATGGACTGCAAGAAGATCAAACCTATCCATTCTGAAGAAAATCAACCCTGAGTGCTCACTGGAAGGACAGATCCTCAAGCTGAGGCTCCAATACTTTGGCCACCTCATGAGAAGAGAAGACTCCCTGGAAAAGACCCTGATGCTGGGAAAGATTGAGGGTACAAGGAGAAGGGAACAACAGAGGATAAGATGGTTGGACAGTGTTCTCAAAGCTACAAACATGAGTTTGACCAAACTGCGGGAGGCAGTGGAAGATAGGAGCGCCTGGTGTGCTCTGGTCCAGGGGGTCACGAAGAGTCGGACACGACTAAACGACTGAACAACAACAATGCACAGTCAAAACCAAAACAAAAATAACTAGGATCTTTAGCTAGGAGCTATCCTTCAGGCAACTGTTTCATTTATTAAAAGCCACTTGCATTTTTTAATTAGATTTGCATTATTTTCACAGTGGATTAACCTGACACTTTGTTTAAAAAAAGAATCTGTGGGTTTTTCCACTCTTCCTCCTTGCTAAATCCTTCTCACTTGTCCCAATTTTGAAATAATTTAAGAATCTTTTTCTTTAATCCCTTTCAGTAAATGAATTTTTGTTAATGTTAATACCACTCAGCCTGTGGACATATTTGCTACAGCTACGCATATGGAGAATCTCTTTTGGAGATTATTGGATTAACATTTTTTGGAGATTACCCTAGAAAATCTGATGCACAGTTGCGTTGCAATTGTTGAAAAGCTTGGGATTTCTCAGCTTTGATTACTTTTGATTTGTCTGAGGGGCTTTTAAATAAAATAGTTGGGAGATTTCTTCCTGTTCAGATGTTCCTAATAGGATTACATTGTCTGTTCAGCACTAGGGCCTTGAAAATCGTCCACCAAGCTCTCCATGGTATTTCACTCCTCCCCTCTGCCGTATCTCAATTAGATATCACACTGGTGTTATCAAGGACTACAGTAGGTTAACTTCTGATTATCATTCTATTCACCTTGAAATGTTCACTTCTCTTTTAATCCTTAGCACATTCCCAGAGGAAATAATAAATAATATCATGCCATATGGCAAATGGGATCAGCTGCAACTCCATGCAGCTTGTAGCTGAGTACTGCCTCTTGTAACACAGCCATAGCTGGCATATAAAACCTGCTCCTGAATTCTCAGGAGAAGACAAAGAACTGGGCAAACCAGATCTCTGTACACAAAGTCAGGCAAAACTTTCTACTGTTCCTTCCCATTACGGCTCAGTCTATAACCTACTCTCCTCCAACTGAACCAACCCTCAGTCAACCTCCTCTCTAGGTGAGCAAACCTATGGACACCAACAATAGAATAATTTCCCTTTTTGTCGGTGACATTTACAACTAATTCAGAATGTGGCAGCTAGACTGGTGACTGGGAGTGGCCGCTGGGACCATATAATACCGGCCTTAAGGATCTACACAGGCTCCCAGTTTCTGAGCACAATTCAAAGTGTCGGTGCTGACCTTTAAAGCCCTAAATGGCCTTGGCCTTGTATACCCGAAGGAGCATCTCTCAACATTGTTCTGTCCAGATACTGAGGTCCAGCTCTGAGGGCCTTCTGGTGGTTCCCTCACTGCGAGAAGTGAAGTTACAGGGAACCAGGCAGAGGGTCTTCTCAGCAGTGACACCCTCCCTGTGGAACACCCTCCCAGCGAATTACAAAGAGATAAAGAACTACACAGCTTTTAGAAGACATCTGAAGGCAGCCCTATATTGGGAAGTTTTTAATGTTTGATGTTCTATTCTGTTTCTATATGTGCTGGAAGCCGCCCAGAGTGGCTGGGGCAAGCCAGACAGAAGGGTGGGGTATAAATAATATATATTTTTAATTGTTATTTACCCAAGATTCAGGACAGACCAGAAAAAGTATTTCTTCACATAGCTAAATCATGGAATTTACTCTCAGAAGAGATAGTGTTTGCCACCAATGGGAAGCTATCAATGGCTCCCAGCCACAATGGCTCTGTTCTGCCTCTGAAGGCCAGTTGCTGGGAATCAGAAGTGGAGAGAGTGCCATTGTGCTCAAGTCCTCCTTGTGTGCTTTCCTTAGGTATCTGGCTGTTCACTGTGAGAATAAAATTCTGGAGTAGATGGGCCATTGGCCTAAGCCAGTAGGCTTTTCTTATGTTGACGCTTAGGATTGTGTTGCATAGCAACCTGATTTAGTCCTCTTTTCTGTCACTCATACTTGTTCTCACCATCCATGTTTTGGGCTTGGCACATGAAGGCTTCTCCCATAATTTGGAATCCTGCAA